AACCACGGAGGATATCCCACTCCTGCGACCCGAAGACGCTTGATAAACGAAGGTGGAGTTACCCAATGATAGGCTGCCTCCGCCTCGCATGCTAGTGACCAGCTCCTCGACTGAATCTTCGTTATCAATCCTCGCTGGCAATGATGATCGCTAATCTTGGTATGAGACAAGAGAATCGTGATTCGCCGCGCTGGTGGGGGGCCGCGCTGGTGGGCGTGCGACTTCGCCCCCGTAAATAACAATGGTTTACGTAAAAGATGGCGACAACAGGCAATTAGAACCGAAAATAGTCAGAAATGTCTATGAGGATAGGGTCTACATGAAGTCCGCTCTCCAATCGACAGCTTAACCCGAGTTGAGGAAACGCCGCGCCCATCGCAGCGCGCGGCGGAGCGGCAAATTACGATTTTCTCGCCCGTCTCCTTAAATTCCCAGCGTTCATTTCGTACAGTGATAGATAGATTACCTGATTGACAGACTGAATAGAATTACAGTGAAACAACCTGGGTAATGGTCTCATGAGGATTAGGCGAAACGAGGCGACGATAGGTTCCGGGGAAGTCGTCTACAATGTGCACAACTCGTCCAAATGGGTTCAATCGAGGTTCTTTTGTTTTTTTTTCTTGACTAGTACCCATATACCATATGCTCTAACAGTTCTGAGAACTTCACCTGGGAAAGCTGATTGCGAGAGCTATCTTTAAGGGGAAATATGACTTATTCAAGTTGTCGGACTATAGTTTCAGTTTTCGAAAACCCTTAGCAGCAGTACTCCTTGATTTCATCAGTTTAGACATTTCTCGCTTGAGCACAAACTTTAAATGGATATAAATAAATAAATAACAAAGTCACGTTGTTTCATGGTACCCTAGTACTCGCTCAAACTTTATGTCCACTGTATGGCGACGCACACAGTGGACATAAAGTTCCAAGCACCATGAGTGCGTCGAGTCAACTAGCGAGAGTATTCCCTAGCTATTTGACTCAACGCAGTCATGGTGTGAATGTCGCGCATGTGACATTGCTTACAACGGCCACCTCGCGCGCAACACAAAAAATGAGCAGCTTACACTTCCTCCAGGCTCACCCCAGATTCTTTCTAAAAAACAGGCTCGAACATAAAAAGAAGCCGATTCTCACCAAAGATGGGAGCAGGAATGTGAAGAATGATGGAGGGGAGGGAACTCTGTCAGAAACATTAATTGTTATCGTAAATCATATCGTAATTGTTATCGAATTTGGATGAGCATTCAGCAGGAAAAGCATCAAGCCACTCAAGGATCTGTACACATTTCACGGGAACGTACAGCTTGAATAATGAAAACAGATTCAGAGGATTCGAATAGGATGCTTTCTGCGTGGCTGGAACAGAAGAAACTGAAATCATACAGTGCCCCCATAAGCGGGATGGCGCTCGCGCTACAAAATGACAAGCCTACCTACGAACCTTCCGAAAAGTCGATAGCCGAAAGTTGTTGAGTAGCTAACAAATGAGCCAAGCAGCTGGTTGGAATCAGTCTTTGAATTTTGGGATTTTGTTTCGAGAATGTTCGCCAATAGAGGTCCCTCCCTGAAATTGTGATACGACACCTAGTACATTCACAGAGCGTTACATCCCAACCGGAGCTTGTATGTGGTCACACACCTCAGACGAGGGTCTCATAGTTGGTCTTAAAGAGAATTTTTTTCACCTAAAAAAAGAAAAAAAATCAGAAAAAAAAAGACAAAATATAAGTAAGAATTATCTGGGAAGTTCTTTCAGACTTTTGCAATAGTTCCTCTGTCTGTTTACCGATATTAACACTTACAGAATCAAATGTTCGCCTTCACAAACACTACCTACATACTGCATCCCTGCCCAGATTCGTGCGACGAATTTCCATGTAAACCTTTAGATCAAGAGATATATGGACCGAGTGGCGCTCATTGAATGGAACTGTGTCATTGTCGTTTTATATTCTTGCATCGATTAAGTGAGAATTGCTTTATAAGTAGAATAATGGTATGGAACACTATAATTTTGGTCATTTTTTTGTTTGTGTTTGTTTGTTTGTTTATTTTTGTATCCGTCCCACATCGTCAGAAAAAACCGGCTCGTACGCAGTCCGGCTTAGAAGGCGGGGGGCATCTTGCACTCTCCTACTTCATATCGTCGGTTCATTGCTCTAATAATAAGAAAATGACAAGTAGTACGAGCTCTCTACGAGCTTTGAGCGGTTTCCCCCTCCCGTATGAAAAAATGGAACCTCCAGCGCTAAACAAATCCTTTCTTAGATGCGCCACGTATTCCACGCCCATTCGGAATCGTAGTGATCTTTTAGATGTCGAGAGTCCTATAAAATGTTTTCTGAAAAAAAGAACCAGATGTACAAGTCAACAGTTTTTGTCCTCCCAGACAACAGTAACACCCATTTGCCGGCTCGGGAAAGGCAGGAAGGCTGGCAGAAAGGCTGGGTTTTGCATGGCGGAAGTCAATCCGGGACTTGTCTCAGAACCGCGCGCTTAACAAGAGGGGTCTCTTGCCCTTACTCCATTTTCGATCTTCCGACAGGTAGCGAAATAAGAGAATTCGGCTCATTCATCAGGAGACCCCTTCGAAGTTTTCCCCTGAAAGAGAACTTCTCTTCCCTTGTATATCACTATTTCAGGATTCAGCATGGCTAAAACTGATGATTGAGGATAAAAAGGTGTTTCCAGCATCGAATAGCCCATGCCGGAGCGCGCCATGCACTCGGCTCACATTCGAAGTTGCAACTCCATTCCTAAATAATTTAGCTTGGGCTTATTTGCAGGACTAGCTGCCGTGGAAATCCCCAGATTGTACTCACTATCCCAGGCAGATCTGGTACCATTCCAGGAGGGACGAAAAGCTTAGCAGAGGAATCCAGGTTATAGAATTAGGTTGTATTCGACCTAATTGACCCCCCCCACCTCCTCAGCATGCGCGATAATCAAGGCGCGTCGCAACATTCTCATGAGGAAATTCTCAATAACAGAATCTACCTCTCCCCCCCCCCCTCGGTTTCTCATTGGTCGAATAACAAGGTCAAACAGACCGCTGGCGATTCCACCTATCTGATATCCCTCCCCCCTCCCAATCAAAATAAGACTCCTCTCTGAGAATACCTCAATGCCTACTGTAGCGGGAATCACTAGCTACTACATCATTTCAACCTTTTTAATGGTAGTGTAAAAGCAAAATCAATCTGATCCAGGGAAAAGAATGGACACGTCGTTTCACACTCGCCATTTATCCCATGATCAGTGGGCGCGATCAGCATAGCGTGCTGCGGGTACAGTTATCGTTCGGTACATTTCCTGTTCAACCGAAGATACCGTAGATAAGATCTCATTGTTCTCATATATAATCATATGGGCTGTCTTAAAGGGCAAAACTAGAAATGCTCATTTTCTCCCGTATCCATGTGTCCCACTCACTCCAAGCCCAGACCGGGGTTCAGTCGGTTGGCTCTTGGAGTGTGGCATTTACTCTCCTTTCTCCTGCGGCTGCTCGCTCACTATCTCACCTGAACCTCCTCATTTTCCCTTACATTGTGATATACAAATACTATTCAAACATTCCTATAATTTTATGTAGGTGCCAAATGTATGGCGTATCCACTTTCATTGATAAACTCTCAACCCTTTACCCTGACGCTGTTCGGCGACGGGGAGGGGGCATTGTACCTTCACTGCTCCACAAGTTCCGGTTCAAGTTCGCCCTCTTGGTGAAATTTCGTCATGAACACTTGTTAAGCTGGAAATAAGCTCGTCTAGAAGCCATTGTGGAATCCGTCAGCTCTGTCTTGCTCATGAAAGAGCTCTTAGACAGGTCGGGGTGCAAAATCCCCCTCCCCCAGTCGCCGAACTGGCCGCTCCTAACCCTTTATGGCAGCCTTACTATTAAATGTCCTTTTGATCAACTTGTCTTTAGGCGTTAATCGGCCACAGTAGGAGGAGGGGGCGCACGAAGGAGTTTTCATGTGAAATTGGGATTGCCTATAGATAGAGCGATCAAATGCATATACATATAGGGCGATCGGAGTTCCTTGGGCTCAAGGCGGTTAAAGGCCGTTGAAGGATATGGAACTGAGATAAGCTTAATGAAACACCTTGAAGGCAGTGGCCGCTCCTCGACAGTTCCACCAGTGACATTGGCAGCAAAACCGCCGCCCCTAGCCATGGTGCCCACTGCCTGTTGAGTGAACTGAGTCTCCCACTCAGGATCTCCTCCACTCCTACACCTGAGCACCTGAGCAAAAATTCTAATCTCTATCACAATAATAGCATTTCTCCATTCCATTGCTCTCCCAGGGATTTGTTCGCTTGTTGAGCTTTGGGGACTGTGAATAACTGAATTTCAAGTGCTTCCATGAAAGGAAAGCGGGTTGAGGCGCCTCATCCCACTTGAGGGACTCGTAAGATCCGATTTAGTGCTAATAATTTATGTCTTCCGTTATCCATCATGTGTTACTATAAGGGAAGTCGAAAAATGAACCAGCAAAACAATCGGCTTAACGCTGAACCATCTCAAAGCTAGCTTTTTGAAGAGCCTCGGGGATCAAAGGTATTACCAACAAGTACGTTCCATTGCAATCTAGGCAACACTGCGTGGACTCTAGTCGTCTGCCGCATCTTTCAGACCTGCAACATGCGAACATGGCAGCAGTCTCAGTCGTCCCGCGCGTGGCTTCTTTCACTACAGTAGGCGCGTCGATTCTCCCTGCGACCAGATCACATGCCCCGAGCTACGTTTCTTTTTTTTTTTTGCCAGCATACTCAGCCGTGCAGCGATCAAATTCTTCGACAAAAAGCGTGGCGGTGTAAAGATCCAACTCCAACATAATTCCCAGACATTGCTCGTTTCGCACATGTTCCACCTGATACACGTACGATTTCTGCCTTGAAAGGTTGTATTTTCAGGGATGCGCTTCACAGCGACTCGCGGTATTGTTTGTGCGTTGTTGGCAGTTGTAGTGATCTTCAGCTTGTCACGGACGATGTCACGATTTTCCCCGATTCCCGACAAAGTATCAGAGGCATTCACTGAGTGGAAGAACTGTATGACAAAGCAATTCGACAGCTTGAAAGACAACCCACAAAAGGTACCAGATTGGCTTTACAGAGGGTTTTCACTGAAGCCAGTCGGTGGGCTTCTCCAACGTGCGTGGGTTTTAGCGAGGCGCTAGCCCTCGCCCGAAGCCGCAGCGATCGACGGAAGACGCGTTGGCATCGCGCTGAAGCCATGTCCGCAGAAATGTCTCGAGTGACTCCAGTGCAAACGACTATTTCTAGTCATATCCCTGCAGACTTCACAATTCTCTTTTTTGTCCTTTTTCCCAGGGCTTTGGGAGGCGTTCGCCGAAATGACGAAAGGGAATGCACATCGAGCACTAACCGAAGCTGGACAGGAATCAAGCTCATTGAGCTACCGAATGACGACGAAGTGAAGCATTACATCCTTAGCCAAGACGTAAGTTGCTCTTGTTTAGCACCTCAAATTTCCGGGCGCTAGTGTGGCACATGTATGTGTAGTATGGCAGCGTTCAGGAACATCGCTAATTGACGCGCGTCAACGCGCTCTAACTCACTACAGTTCTAACAGCGCTCCAATTCTAGGGCCGTGAACGCAGCCGCCGGAAATCTATCAGCGCCGCCCTAGTGGCCAATGCCGATCGATACCAAAGTGCGTGGTTAGTCGTCGCGTACCCTCCTGTGCCCCCAAACGGCCGGCTACGATCGATTGCTGTCTGCGGCTGCGTTCGCGCCTACAGCCTTGGACGCTGTCGCAATTTTAGCGCGCGTTACAGCGCGTCGATGCGCGTTATTGCGAAGTCTGAATGCAAATTCACAACACGACCATCTCAGTAACTTCGCTTCTTTCAGACTAGCGAACCGAGCGTTATCGTCTCACTGGGAATCGGTGCCGATATCAGAGTGGAGCAGCAGTTGAGGAAATTGCTGCCAGAAGTAAGACGAAAACCTTCACTTCCCGTCTGTATCGAGCCGAGTCACAATCTTTCAGGACACTGAATTCTTTGGTGCAGACCCAGTAGTCGCACCTAACTCCAACCTGTACGGTCGACTTGGAACATTCTTCCCGGTGGCGGTCAGTGACCATTCTGGACAATCGAGTGCTAACATACGTCTGGACAACGGTGAGGAATGCCTGAATTACCTTCCACTGACTGCTCCCCAATGGGAATATGTAGCGTTGAAATTGCACATGCGGTCGCGCGCGGTTGCGTCGCGGTTGTGAGCTCACACAACTGCAGCATATGCATCATTTACGCTCTTACGTGTACACGAAGTGAAAAACCTTAGCGAACATCCCGGAAAATTCCAGATCTCCCTCCAAGAGCAGTTAGGCGGCCACACGCAGACGAACCTGCCACAAGTGCGAAAGCAGTATGGTCGAGATGTATAGTCTAGTTCGCTGCAAATGCTGGGACGTGTCAGGGAGGCGGGTTGGGATTGGCGAGGCGCCAGCCTGTTCTCCTCACACTGTTAAAGAAGCATCAATTGGTGGAAAACGTGTGAAAACGTGGTGACGCCGCACCAAACACACTTCTCCCCCCCCCCATCTTCACGCCGCAGCATCTACAGCGAATAAGATTGTACCAAGTGTTGCGAACCCTTCCAACCCGTTCGGGGTCGCTCAGTGCACCTTGGTCTGATTTGTGGTCATACAGGATAAGGATATAGGATGGAGTCTGCCATTAATCAATCCCTTTTTGCAAGCGGCACGCACTCTACTTCAAGTCAGAATCCTAGTGGCTTGGTGGATGCGACCTGTCCACATAGTGACTCCCTGGGGCAGCCGATGTACAAGTCAGTGTTCTTATCCTCCCAGACTAATCTGTTACCAATCCATGGAAGGTATTTAGAAGGGCCTTGGCTGGCCTGGGCGGGAGCCAGTACAGGATTTGAACCTAATCCTGCGCCTGGCAGGCGTGCCACTTGCCCACTAATAACATTGCCGCTTCATTAGTCATCATTAACCGGATTATATTCAGAGCGACTATGCCACTAGGCCTATGTGGACCTCGTCTACGTTCTGACGAGTTTGAGTTCAGGGGAAAAAAGGGAGATATGCGCGCTTCTGCCCACACACATCCCTCCACCCTATTCAGTTCGCAATTGAATAAAATGGGGGGGGGGGTGCCGCTCATCTCAGTCCAGTGTCCACATTCTTCCTCTCTAACTACAGTAACCGAGACAAATTCTGTTGTTTTCTAGGAGACTATAAATACATGACGGTGGTGCATGTTGATATTGGGACGTTTTTCACCCAAATGGTCAACAGGGAGCATGTCGATCATGTGATTCTCGATAATGAAGGACCGGAATATCAGCTGATACCAATGATAGCGATCGATAATGTGTTCGCCGACAAGAACATTGTTATCTGCCACATGAACGTTGAGGTGAGTATTTTGGAGAGCTTACTCAAAGGCGAGCTTCTGATAAGAGCAAAACGAATGAGAACTCCGAAAACTCTGGCATACGGGTATCAGAGCGGGGTCCGGGGCTTCCGAGATAAGGTCCGCTCGAAGACACGTTCCGCGATAAAAGAATGGGCGGAGACACACAACAAGCCTGCTAACCGGGCGGAGACTTACAACAAGCCTGCTAACCTCTTAGCGCGCCAGTGCCGCAGTGATAAGAAGGTGGAGTACAATGGGGAGGGCATAGTGGTTGTGAGTCTGCGCTCATATCTTCACCCATTCCATTATCGCGGAATGTGTCCTTTAACGGTCAGCGTATTCAAATGGTTGTGTGCGCACACGGAGAGATGTGCGCGGAGTCGGACCTACCGTTGCGCCTTGCTCCTCGGTGTGCTTCACTTTCAATACAAGAAGTGTGCCAATAGTGAAGGCCTTACCCTGCCCATCCGACGAACGTGGACTGCGCTTCTGAGTAATGGCAGATCTAATAAATTTCGAGTTGCAGTTCCATGCTCCTGGACCAAAAAGTCGATATGACGAGTTTGTGAGAGTGATGGAAGGAGTGCTACGAGCTGGTCGTTTCGCTCCCATACACAATCAGAACTTCGGCCATCAACGTATGTTCCTCGTCAATTACGCCGATCCGTACTGCGTTCACAAATACCTCGATCAGTTCTTCTAAATCTCCTCACATGAAAGTTCGGGTACCTTTTGAGCAGTTTGCATAGCCTATATTTCTCGTGAAGGTCTGAGGGCTGACGCTTTTTCCTCTTTCAAGTGCAATCTCTCTAATGCAATATTCAAGTCTCCACTGCGTTTATCGATTCGACCGATTGGCCAATTGATTTTTGTGATTGTTTGTTGTCTTTCCTTATGAAGTCTAAAAGGCAGTGGGTACAGTTGCTAGGAGGTGGCTCAGCACTCCTCGCAGTTCGGAACTTGTGACCTAACGTTCTTCCACCAGTTACGCTGGAACTGCTGCCCCGCCTCTTAGCCACTTTACGCAGGGCTTTCAAACGATTCAAATTTTCTGCCATTCATTATTATGAGATCAATAAAGAATGCTTTATGTGAGTGTGTGTGTGTGTTTATGTTGTTTCAAGCGTGATAGCAGCTTCGATGAGCACATTCAATCTTGTCTCCCTTTGCCCGGCTGTGATATGAAAGGCAATTAACCAGCAGGACTCCGATAATCGTCATAAGGTGCGCCATGCACTCCACCGGAACAGCGGAGCATTTGGAAGCAGATTTCATCGCCAAATACCTTTGTTCCCTTGAGAAGGAGATTCACCCTTGAATTCTTGGTATTTCGCAACGTAATCCATGCCTCAGCTAATGACTAAGGGAATGATTCCCGGAATGGAACTAAGCATCTCGTGCAAGTGTGGTGACGCCCTGGAAATCTCACAAGTTTAGTACTACAGGGGGTATACAGTATCCCAGAACATCGCGTAAATTTGGTTGAGGCTGGGAGCTGTAAGTGGCGCAAGTTCCGCCGGGGTTCTTAGTAGGAAAATGGCGAAAAGGAGGAGTGAAACGATCAAAAAGCTGCAAAAAAGCCTTTGTTCTACACGAATCACAAAGCTATTTCGGACGAGTTCTCCGTAGGTATTGAACCAGTAACCGCTACGGTAGATACGGCTGTGTGTATTTACTCATATATCCATGCAGCACCGCAGCCGCTTCATATCAATCCCTTCGCTTCATATTTTACTTAGCAAATGAAGCAATACGAGCACCAGGTACGGTCGTCCATTTGTGGGCGGGCGGGCGCGGTGGCAGTCCTGGTCGGTATGTTGCAGCTTGATAGGGCGCTATAAGGGTACCTTTCTTGGAATGGGCGCCACGCAGCGCCGGCCCAGGAGCGCCGAGTTCACTCCTGCTAGTCTACACGTCTTGAAGATTCATCGTGCCACTTCCCTTTGAGTTATGGCTTGAGAATCGCCAAGAAGAGGGGAGCCAGAGGACAGGGTCATTGGTGAGTCCCAGCTCTCCCCGCTTTCTATGATCAGGGCGGGCGGAAAAAGGTAAGGAGGTTGCGTTTGGACCCTCAACAATAATTTCCTAGCAGGGGACATACTAGGGGGTTAATAGCGATGCTAGTGGACTTTTCTTCCTCTTAAAACGAAAGTTTTGGTGTAACACCTCCTCCCAACCTTAGTCTTGTTCGCTACGGATGCGGAGGGCTGAGTTTGGCTCACCTGTTTCCACCAACTGCATCAGCAAGTGGTAAAAACATACCGGGCCAAACCGTGCTCGCTGATACGTACTCCCAAACAAATAAGACTGTAATTACCATCCTAGCGATTTTCCTAAAATTTTGTACCATAGACTGAAAATCAACCCTAATGGTTTCTGCGTGATGATGATCAATGCCCTTTTGCACTGCCATTTGCACCCTGATATGTTTTGTTTACTGCTTCTCGCGGCGGTGCTCAGCTAATGAAGACTAGAATTCGATTCCCGGCTGGGGCACAACGTGTTCCCCATATACTCGCAAATGTTGTGATCTTGACAACTTCATAGTGAAAGACTGTTTTTCCAAAAGCGATGAGACTTGATTAACCTAAGCCGGACATGATCTCACTAACCGACTAAGCGCCTCATTGCACCCCAGCACACGGCGGAAAACGTAATCCAAGCGCTTCAGCTGAACCCAGGCGAAGGGTTGGAGGACCGAATGACAGAAGGAAGTTGTCGTTTATCTCGCTTGCTAGATGGCGTGCCATTCGGCTATACGTCGTTCCCGTCAACATCGCCGCCTAAGTGCCCTCATAAATACTCGTGGTCTGGACGTACACATATGTGACCACTATGACACCACTATTCTCTGAACGCTTTCTTATTTCGACTTCTCGCTACTTACTATTAGCTTGCAGTTGTGGCTTTCTTATTATAAAGCAATTTTGAAGCAGCATCGTTGTAGGTGTCAATTCCCACAAGGGCAGATAAGGGTTACTTGAAGGCACAAGGTACGGTAAATTGATACTTGCTCTAAAATGGCACCAGGGGGCATATAGTGGGAAAAATGGCGAAGAAGCGAAGTCAAACGGCCAAAAACTCGCGGAAGAAAGCCTTTGTTCCGAACGGAATCGGACGAGCATCTTTGGACGAGTTTCCCGTGAGGCATCAGGCCAACAATCGTTTTGATAGACAGGGTCGCACGCATTTGTTCATGTAAACATGTAGCGCGCTTCAGATTAATTGGACTTCATGATGAAGCGATAAGAGTGCTAGCATCAATGTGACGGTCCGGCTTTGTGGGCGGGCGGTTGCAGTGGGCGTCTGGGTCGGCATGTTGCACCTTGGTTAGGCGCTATAACGGTGCCCTTGGTTGAAAAAGGCGCCACGCAGCGCCTGCTAAAGGGCACAATATTCTTTCGTGCTGGGCGTATCGACCCTGTATACCCTGTCGGTTTATCGTGCCACTTGCGTTCTATGTAGCACCACCTATTTCAGTTTCTCTCCGGTTGCGTTTTCTTTGAGAATCGATCACCATAGAACATCTTCCTACAAGACGATGAAGGATGCAACGCTATGATCATCGCAGTTCAAGGGCGTGTTCAGCTGGAGAACGACGATCTCGACAGTCTGACCCGCTTATTTAGATACGATCTCTATTCAGGCCTATTCGAGCCTATCCATTGTTGCAAGAGAGCACAAATTTCATGGCGTAGCTGAAGAAATGTGTGCCAAATTCCATAAGTTTTTGAGGCTACCTCGTTCCAAATTTCCGCATCATTGCGCACCGGCGCCCAATTTTTGGCTTGCCCATTCAGCAATGTCTGCCTGATAAGCTTTCACGCGCGTTCCTTCGTCTTATGCTCGTGCCAGTCTGGTGCGTCGAGTCATACCGATTCTCGGTGTCATTGCGGTGAAGGTCAGATTTCGAAAATTAGTTATCAAGGTTATCGCGGTTGCCCCTTTCGCTGCATTACCCACTCCCACAGTGAATTCGAGTGCGACTCCTCCCCCGATCGTCCAGCCAAACCCGTCCGACGCACTATTGATCCAGCACTGTCAACATATTGCGGCCAGTGAATCCACCAAGACAGAAAACTGATTGTTTTTGTATGGCTCTTCGCCAACGTCTAACCTTATCCGAGAAACTTCCTGCTGTTTTCTCAAGGCTTTCATGATCTCCTAAACACGCTTGTGGGGGTTCGAATAAGCAATTAGCTCTCAAATTTCAAGAAGTGTTCTTGTTTATTTGGTGTTTTGGTGAATTTAGTGTTATTTTCGTGATTTCTTCTTCGAATTTCATTTGTTCTAGCAATTTTATTCTTCCACATGAAAACTGTGACTAGATCGACTAATCGACTAATTGAAGGTAACGATTAGGTCAACCGCTTTAAAATTGAAGCCCTAGCTGAGAGCACAGCATGTACATTTCGAATCAAGGCAACCCGCGAGGATTCTTCACCGTAGATGAAGGGGAGGGAGGGGGACGTACTGGGCCTGATGAAAACTTGTTTGCATCGTTAGATTTGCCGGGCAGTTCTGCCAGGGGGGGCATCTTGCACTTTTGCCACTTCTTGTCGACGAGCAGACCCATCTAGGGAGCCGTTTCGTGATGTTACAATAGTTGACAGGTTCTAACATGGTGGCTTCCACGAGCCTGCCCTAGCTTCACTTCACAGGTTTCAACAGACTTGTAAACTTGCAAACCGGAAGTAGTGAAGCAGCGGAAGTGCAAAATGCCCTCCCCCCAGTCGCCGAACTGCGCCGATTTGCCGTTTCAGCCTCTGAACCAGTGGCGTTGCAGTTTCCATAACTTTCTTAACTTAAACATTGCATAGCTGATTAGAAAGATTTTCTCCAGCCCTTGCTCACTCGAATATTGTGAGGGAGGGGGTAGAACAGGATACTTGCGGAGAAATTTTCAGTGCAGTTTGCTTTAGTGGGAGCACCAATGGTGCTCAGAGAGGCTTGTACGAGCCACCTTCTAAAGACATGTGTATTCCTGTTATTAAAGTGGCTCACCTTCAGCTTTCACAGCTTTCCAAGAGTTAACAGGGGCCGACCTGTTAGTCAACGTATACTAGCAAGAGCAACTAGCGAAAATGCAAAAATGTCCCCTCCAAGCCGAACAGCGCCAAATTTTATCGCCTTGACTGTAAATCCTCGTTCTGTTATCGAATTCCATCGGAACTTATCAGCGTTCCGATCTCTGTATTGGGTGAAAACCTCTATAACAGGCAATGCCGAGCTGAGTGCACGGCGCATCCTCAGGGTCTTATCTCCTTGCTTTATCTTTGTATTATCGTTGGTATCAATTTGTCGAACCCGGTTTTGGTGACCAGGCTGAGATTCAAGCCAGTCTTTCACTCCGGACCACCACATGGCCCTTGAAACCGACTGCCACTTTAGCTCCTCTATCTACGTACAAGATACTGCCTCAAAATGGGAGCTGAGTTCATGGCGCATCTCACAGAGGGCCCAGTCTTTCCTTTTCCCAAAGAGAGGGCAGAGAGGGTGGTGTGCTAGTCTCCAACCATCTCTGTTAATAAAGTGCAGAAAGAAATCAGGTAGCTTTCTACTGGTTCATAATTGAATGAAAGTCATCTCCCGATCGGATGATTCACCATCAAATGACAAAAGTTGCCGCCAGGTTCGCTGACCTGAGCATTGATAGTACACGCTCCATAGTATGTCAACTATAGACTCAAAACCATTCTAATT